CTGCCCCCACTCCACCCCCCACCCCGCGGCTGCCCTGGAGCCAGAGGCGGAGGAGGGCTCTGCCCATCTCAGCGAGAAACCAAGAGCAGGAGGCGGGAGCCAGACTGGGAGCCAGACGGCACTGTGTCCCTGCGGCAGTCTCCCCGGTGGGTGGAGCCGCCCGCGAAAGCTGCCTGCCTCGGTTTACCCCGTGGAGGGGCAATTCTAGATAGACGTTTTGACGCGTCGTGGAGACTAACAGCCTCCTGGCCTCCTACTCTCTCACCTCCTTAACCCTTCAGTTCCTCTCTTAAATCCCTGAGCTCCGGACACTAGTGTCGGAAGGTTTTCCCTGCGGACTAGAAGCATCTTATATTAAAAAAGTAAAACCATGTGCTGGAGCCTCTGTGAGCAGGCAGACCCAGAGTCAGAGACTCTGGGACCCGGGCCACAAGCCTGGCTCCGGAGAGTCCCTGGCAGGGGCCCAGGCGAGGGGGCCAGTCCCCGAATCTTTCAACGTGACACGTGGGATTCTGGACATGCCAGCCATGAGCCCGGGGACGTGGAGAGCCACTTAGAGGGGGCGAGCTCTGATACCCCACATTCCACCTGTGGCGCAAACCAGCCCATGAGGACCAGCTATACCCCCGAGCCTGTCAAAGTCGGGGTGACGGGGCCAGGGAGCATTGCGCGGGCCCCGACGTGCAGGCCCAGGGCTGGCGCCAAGCTGGCAGAGCCTCAGTCAGGCACCTACCACGTGAGCAGCGTCACTGCCAGCCTCCTGGCAGGCGGCCCTCCTGGTTGAAGTCCACAGGGCAAGAGAGGTGGGAGAGTTTGGCTCTGCTTAGTCCTTGGGCTCAGACTCGGGGGGCTTTCCCCGTGACTGCCTCCCCTACTGCCCCAAAATTTCACTGGGGGTTGGGTTGGCTTGTGCCCTGACAGAGGACAGCTGTTCCCACACAGATCCCTCTCCTCAAGTGACCAGAGTGACCAGCAAGTCAGGGCAGGGGCTGACGGGAGAGCGGGCACGCCTGGGGTAAAGTGACCCTCGAGGGAAGAGGCGGGACATGAGCGCCCCAGGCTCCCCCTGCTGCACGAGGCCTGGAGCCTCTGCCAGCTGCCCCTCGGGGGCTGGTTTCAGAATGAGATTTGTGGGGACGTGTTAGTGACCACTGCCCCAGCCAGAGACCCAGGGGGTCCCCGCTCCTTGTACCTCGCGTGCCCCAGCTGTCATCCGGGTCTGCTCCACAAGGGGCCAGATTGGCATTCTGGAAGAGAAAGAAAAAGGGCAGAGGGGGCAGGCCGCGGGGGCGGGCAACCGGGCAGGCGCTCAGGCCCGGGGATGCCGCCCAGAGAGATGCTGCTCGGGTGCCCGCGCTCCCCAGGGCCTGTCGCCCTCGCCCGGCGGCTTTGCTCACGGGCTGACCCTGCCTGTCCAGGCAGCTCCTGGTCCCCGGGCCCTGCAGCTGGCACGGACCCCGGTGGGCGGCTCAGACTGAGGCTGTTCCCCGGGGGCCTCTGCTCCCCTCCAGACCCCACTGTCTCCAGATGCTCAGGGGCTGGTGTCTGCACAGCCCGCTGGTGGGGCACTCCACACGGTGGCTATGACGATGACGATACTCAGAGGGTGACACCTCGCTGAGGGGACAGGGACTCGAGAGCCCCGCCACCTGCCCCAGGGGCCTCCCTCTCCCGGCCGTAGCATTGTCAGCCAGCTTTGCCAGTTTAGTGCATCAGATCATTAATGTCCGGAATCCCCTCTCCTTTCTGCCCACCTGCAAATGCAGCCCTGCAGTCCCTCCCTATAAGCACCGGGCCACACCCGGGTTCTCTACCCTCCCCATACGGGGTACAGGTCCCACACGGGGCACAGGTCCCACACGGGGTCAGGGCTTCTGGCCAGCATTTCCGAAGTTGGGTGCAGGGGTTCAGTTTCAAAGGAGAGAGTCCGCAGTTGGAGGGGAGGTGACGGGCTCTACCTTCGGATTGTGTTACAGGAAAAAGGTTTTCAGCCCTAACTCACTGCAGAGGCCGTGAGTGGGGAGCCCAGGCCTGGCGAGTGTGGGCAGAGAGGCCTCAGAGGGCAGCGAGACCAGGGCCCTTCCCCCCAAACAGGGGAAACCGAGGCGGTGCATGGCGTGAGCACCTTAAGTGCAGGGTCGGAGCTGGTCTCTGTGTAAATGTTTGATATTTTGTTCATCGTGGAAGGACCGCATTACTTCGGATTTTTAAAAACATTGCGTTAGAACATCCTTTATCTTGATTACTGAGCCCTGGTACCTGCCTTACGGGCCAATCTCATCCCAGCCCTGGAGCCCCCGGACGGCTGCGCCCTCCCAGGGAACCTGCGACAGTCATTCTCCGTAGCTCCAACACTTTTCTGAGACCTGTTCTCAGGACACTGACAAGCGTCCCCAGGTGCACCTGTCTGGTCCCGGAACCTCGTCCTTGAACCAAACGGGGCAAACCTGCCTCCCTTCTGTGATACAGAAGGAAACTGCTGCCCCCCAGTGACCACTGCCCCGTATCACAGGCCGTCAAGCTGGCCACCGCAGCCACCTTGGGCCGCTGGAACCCCTTCCCAGGGGCAAAATCAGCTTCCTCTGCTCTGCCAGCCTCTGAGACAGATGGAGCCTCCCAGGAGGGAGGGCGGGGCGCCATCCGGGTGGCGAGTGGAGCGGAGGGTCAGCCCAGAGCAGGGGAATAACAGTCTCCCAGTCTTCTAGGTGCCAAGTGGGGCTGGGGGCCTCGAGGCCTCTCTGGTGCAAGGCAGCCTTGGGTTGCTGCTCTGTCTGGGCTGGCAGGAGAGCTAAGTGGCCAGGAGAACCCCGCCAAGGCCGCTCCAACAGGCGCATCCCCTGTGGGGCTCCCCTGCAGTTCTCAGCAGAGGACCACAGAAGATAAAGGTAACACACCATTTACCTCTCCCATATTTCTGGTGTTGTTATGCACCAGCTGCTCTACAGCCACATTCACTAATCCCGGCTCAACCCTACGAGATGGCATTATTATTACCATTTTGTAGACAAGGCCCAGAGAGATTAAGCAACTTGCCCAAGGTCACAGAGCGAATACATGGCACTGTAAAGAATTTCACTCGTGTGTTTTACTCTTCAAAAATTATGCTAGAATTGCTAATAGTAGGAGTGACATTGTGGCCATTCACCATTGGCCACGTGCTTTTCTTCCTAAAGCTCACGCTGGATGGTGCCACCCCACTTAGCAACCGCTGACCTGGAAAGAAGGGGTAGGAACTTGCTTTCCAGATGATTCCTCAGGTGGGGCCCACACTGCAGAGCTATGAGACTTCACAGCCATGATGTTATCTGTCCCCACAACAATCTTATGATGTGAGGACAATTTTTAAAGACTTAGAAATAGAGTCAGGAAATGTACGTAACTTGCCCAAACGCATCCCCCTCAGAGGCAGAGCAGGGATTTGAACTCAGGGCTGTCTGATGCTGACGCAGGCGCCCTGTCCAGCTTTCTGGCTGGAAAACACCAGGTTTCGTTAACTTGTTAAGGTTCTCCTCGTAGTCACATACACGCATATTTTTATCAGTGCTCTGTGGACATGTGAAAACCTGGTTCAAAGACACACGTTTCCCACACGCCTGCTAGGTGGTCTGCTGTCTGCGTTACTCCAGGGCTCCGAGTGCCTTTTATTATCCTCACTAGATTCGTGTGTCCGATTCCAAAGCACCATAATTAGATCACCCACCATGCTTGTTGCGAAAGCAACCTGTGGACTTGCATTTTATCAGGTTTGGTGCACTTAAAATTATGAGTGTTACTCCTGCTTTATAAATCGGCCCCTGTGCATGGGTGACTCCTCTTTAGACTATGAATTCTAATCAGACTCTGTCCTCTTGTAGGAAAATTCAGGCTGTTCATATATAGCATCAGGGTTTCTCCGGGGGCTACCACCTGGATCTGCCGGTGGCCAGTGGTCCTTCTCTGAAGAACAGGCCAGGTGGCCATGTGGCAAGGTGGCATGTGTCCCCAGAAGTCACTGCCTGCTGCTGGCTGTTCTGACACTGAGCTTCCTGGGCTGCGAGTGTCCAGTGGACGTCGGTCCTGCTTTCCCATGCCCCACTTTCCGTGTGGACACAAAGAGTGGACAAACCAACCGAAGGAAAGTGGAAGAAGCAGGCAGCATGCACGACCTGACGAGGCCCATCCCGGGACAAGCTGGCGGAGCCAGCGCAGTGGCCAGGCCCAGGACACACACAGAAGCATGTCCAGCAGAGCCTGGGGCAGGCCGAGAAGCTGAGGACGCCTGTGGCTCTGGGGACGCCTTCCTATTCTTAGCCCTGTCTCAGTGGCCTGGCCCCTGGCTACGAGATCCTGCTGGGGGAGGCTGGAGAGCTGTCCCGGGGCTCCACTTATTGCTGAGACCACCACAAATCAGCAAATGCGGGATCAGCCTTGGGTGGCTTCTCTCGAGGCTGAAATGCCTCGGTTTGTGGAAAAGGGTCCTCAGTGGGAAGGGCTCCTGACTGTGTGTGTGTGTGGGAGGGGCTCTGGTGTCATCAGGCCCCACCTCACCTGAGGGGTCCTCACTGGAGACCTCGTGAAGCTGTGGGGAGAGGGACAGAAGTGGGCAACTCTTCATCAGGGTCTTGCCCCTAGTGGGGGACAAGTCAGGCACCAAACTACCTGGGTTGTCCTTTAGATGGGGAGGGATCCAGCCAGCCTTCAGCTGGGAGCAGTCAGAGAAATTCTGTGTGATAATCACAGGTGCCAATGACACCTGCAGTGGGCACAAAGGTGATATCAAGCGATGACAGTGAGGGGCAGTGGCATTCCAGGAAAAGAGGAGCATCCCTGGCTCACATTTAAGGTCCTTACTAGGTTCTAGGTCACAGAAGGAGGCCGTGGGTGGCCCCCATCTCCCTGCCCTAACACACTGAGCCTCCCTGGGGGTCGGGGCTGAGTGGGAGGGGGAAGGGGTGTTGCTTCCTTCTGTCTGGTCTGGAGACGTGACGTGTGGCCCCTGGTGGAGCAGCAGGCACAGGCAGGTGGGCGAGCAGGGTCCCCGGGGCCCTCCTCCTGGCTGTGTGGTCAGTAAGCTGTGGGAACCGCTCAGGCTCACAGTGAGGTTAGTATTTGGCGTGCCAGGGAGGGGAGTACCTACCCGGTGGTCCAAGCCATTCTTTCCATGTCCGGGGAGAGGGTCAGATTTGGAATAGGGGAATCCTGAAACAGACACAGCACAGCTCCGTCACGCACGTGCCAGGTGCGGCCCAGCGCAGGAGGAAATCCAGGATGGGGGCTGGCGGGTGACACAGGAGGGCCCCTGAGGGTGATATCTTGCCACAGGCATGACCTCTATCCCAGGGACTGAGGAAGAAGCCAAGGAGGTGGGGACATCCGCCAGTCCACCCACATCACCAGGAACATCCCAGAGCCTGACCCCACCCTGTGTTCTCTGATGGCTGGGGGTAAGGCTGTGCCACCCCGAACCGGAGTGGCAAATGGAGGCCCACTACCAACCAAAGGGCCTGGAGAGCATTTATTTATTTTTAATCTTGAGCTGTTTGCAATTGGGGGATTTCACATTAAAACCCTTCCAAAGAGCAGAGTGGGGGCTCCCTGAAGTGTCCTCCTGGTTCAGACATGAGTGAGGCTTGTGTCCTGGAAATGAGGACACGTGGCCAAGCCTGGCTCCTTAGAGAGACAGGGTCCCCAGCCCAGGAAGCACCTGCAGGAGGCCTGTCCAAAGCTGCCTGTCTTTCCATAGCCTGTGGGCCTATAAAGAGCAGAGCCCATGTCTGCTTCATCTGGGGGTCCCTGGCCCCAGCCCCGGCCAGCACCCAGCTGCTCAGGCAACGACTCACAGGGCCAAAGACCAGCAGCACCTGGGAAGCCGATGGGCTGCCCACGAGGGCTCAGAGAGGATGGCAGGTCATGTCCCTTGACATTCACGAGGTGGGTGCTGTGCAGAGCCCACCCACCCCCTCTGAGCAAAGGATGCTGAGCCAGATGACTTTCATTCCAAGGGTTCCTCACAAACTCAGTGAGGGCAGAAAAAATCCTGTACAGGCCACATCTGGAGGAAATGCCTCCCTGGGGGTCCTTGGGAAGGTTCCGGATGTGGGTGAGGAAGGGCCTTTTGTGACATCAAGGTCAGAGTTCTCAAACATCTTCCAGCTGAGGGACCCTCTTGTCACATGAAATCTTACGTGAACTCCGGCTCACACAACAGATGAACGTCGGGCTGGGAGACAGAGTGGGAGAGGGGCCTGAGGCCAGACCTGCTGGGCTGCACCTCACTCCTCCCGGCCTCTCCCATGGCTGCTCCAGGAAAATGCCTGGGCTTACTCCTCCCATTTCACAGAAGGGAAATGGAGGCCCAGACACGGAGGGACCTGTCCAAGGTCACCCAGTCCCGGGCTGCAAGACAAGGCCTCCTTTGTCCAAGAATGTCTTTATTTCCCAGTCATTCCTGAAGGCTACTTTCAGCCATTTAGCATTCACGTCCACAGCAATGCTTTGTCAGCACCTGAAAAAATGTGGTGCCACTTCCCGCTGGCCTCCATGGTTTCTGACAGAAGTCGGCTGTCGTCTGACCTGGGTGTTCCCCTATAGAAAACCTGTCTCTTTCCACTTTCAAGAATTTTTTTCTCTGTCTTTAGATTTTTGAAGTCTAATGATGATGTGTTTTTGGAGTGGATTACTTTGGATTTATCCTATTTGAGGTTCACTTTTTCTTGACCCTGCAGGTTTATATGTTTTATTAAATGTGGCTAGTTTTGAGCCACTATTTCTCTGAATATTTTTTCAGACCCACTCTCTTCTCTCCTTCCTCTCTGTTGTTCAGATTCTCTGATTCTCTCCTCTGTCATCCTCTCTAGTCTGTTACTGAGCCCATCCAGTAAAATTTTTTATTTTGGTTATTTTATTTTTCAGTTCTATAATTTCCATTTGGTTATTTCTTATGTTATATCTCTTTGGTGAGATTTCCTTTTTTTCCCCCAGTTGTCTCAAGAGTATTTGTAACGTGTTGAAGGATTTTTGTGATGGTTGCCTTAAAGATCCTGTTGGGAAACTCCAACATCTGATTCTTCTCAGTGTTGTGTCTGTTGTCTTTTCTCATTCAAATAGTTATCTTCGTGGTTCTGGGTGTGAAGACTAATTCTCTATTGTTCCTGGACATTTTGGAGACTCTGGGTCCTAGCTGAGTCTCCTATTTAACAGGCCACCACCCTGTTTAGGTTTAATATGTAGGGCCTAGCTTAGTATGGGTTGTGGTTCTGATGACAATTTAGTTTTCAGAATGCTTGTCAAAGCGCTCTTCTAGTCTGCTGAGCCCACCTAGTATTCCTGGTGCTCACTTCCCCCCAAGGGAGTGAGATGTACTTCCTGGGTTGTGCCCTGAGGTGGGGTGGGAGACAGTGGCTGTGGGTGGAGAGTGTTCCCCTGGGCCCATTCTTCAGGCTGCCAGGTGCCAGTAGCCCTCCTGCTCAGCATCTGCTGGTGTGGCCAGGGGAGGAAAACATCTACCTAGTCACTTTGTGCCACTGCACAGGAGGTGAAAGACAAGGAGTCCTGCATTTTTCAAGCCCCCTAGCCAGTCCCCCTTCCTCTGTCCCTCTTCATAGTTCTGTGGTTATCTGCTGTATTGTTTCTGGATTTTTCCATTTTACTTAGTGGCGGAAAGCAAAGAGAGAGGAGTCTCCACTACCTCTCTCCCTAGGCTACTATCTAGACCCATTAAAATGGGCATCTCTTGGGGTGGACCGGCCATCAGTTGATTTCAGCAGTCCCAGCGATCCCCTGGGCAGGCTGGAGTCCTCCCAAAGCCAACAAAGCCCTGCGTGACCCCACACATTGCAGCCTTTACCTCGCCAGGGCCCCCTTGCCATCCCACAGACCCAGTTACGCTTCCACCTCTGTGGAGAATGCCTTCCACAGGTGTCTGCACCAGCCAAGTCCAAACCCTCAGGTCTCGCTCACCTGCCACCTTCCACTATACTTAAACTCACTCTGGTTCCTCCCAACCTCCTGACATGCATGGCACTGAGATACCGGGTGTTTTAACTGTTTCTGTGTCCTGCCCCACAAATGTCAGCTCCTCAGGGCAGGACGCTGTCTGTTCTGGCCTCTGTTTGACCCCAGCACCTACACAGTGGGTGCTGGAAACCAGAAGGCACTCACAGAACGGTCACTAGAGGTCAGCAAGCCATGCCTCCAGGAGCCTGTCGTAAAAGGGGGAAATGACACTGATGTCCCTCCAGTTCTGATGAATCCACCCCTGGGGGTCTCAGGTCATGACACCCAAACCAGGTTTATTGCCCACCCTGCCTGATATTCTCAGGAGACTGGCAGCAAATCGGGGTGCCTCTTTCTTTCAGCCATAAACCAAGAAAAGTGAGGACAATGTATTCCCAGCTTGAAGCTCCAGAGGAATAACAGAGCAGCAGAAAGGCCATTTCTGACCACACCTCGAACCCACTTTCCCGTTGCTCTCAGGGAGGACAACTGGGGCTGAGTCACTGTCACCTCCCCCAGTGCCCACTGGGCACTGGGAGGGGCCCAGGGAGGTGATCCCTGATCCTGGACCCAGACCAGGCCCCGGGCAGGGGTGGACAACAGGTGAAGAAAAACATGTCCCATCAAACATGGGACCCCACGGGGAGGGACTGAGAGAAGGTGACGCAAACAACAAATCTACAGGCTGGGTTGGGGCACAGCCACCCACACTGGGAGCACCCATCTCTGCTGCTTTGATTCTCACCCTGATCCCCAAGCCCTGCCCACTCGTCTCATGTGCTGAGGTTTAAGGAAAGGGCCTAGCATACTTTCTAGGGATCGCTGAGTCCCCTGGGCAGGGTCTCCAGCTGGACTGGGGGGGTTGTCTGACATTGACACACCTATGACCACCCAGGGGGGGCAGGGGAACCTCAAAAGAGAGGCCAGGACCTGGAGGGTTAAGAAGATGGGACCTACAGCAACAGCAGGCCCTACCGGGTCCAGGCCAGGGGAGGAGCCCCATCACCTCATGTCCCTCTGCGGGTCATGTGTCTCCTCCTTTAAGCCTCAAGGCCCTCTTCTTATAACAAAAAATCAACACCATCCCCTTCCTGTGCAGAAAGTAGGTTCATCAACAACACAACCGACGACATTCATGGTCCAGAGAACGCCATGTGCGTGGTACAAAGGGAAACACACAGTCGTCTACCATAAATATTCAGCAGGAGGCGCTCTTTGCAGAGGGTGGCAGAGCTGGCTGAGAATCACTGCTATTGAGGAGAGGGAGGTACACTTGTTTGTCACTTCTGCTCAAATGACTTCTCCCCTGCTGGGGAATGGGGACTGGGCCAAATTCACCACCACCTCTGTGCTGCCTAGCTCCATGGCCAGCACATAATAGGTGCTCAGTAAATGTTTGGTGGACAGATGGATGAATGACTGAGTGATGGTTCAATCCCAGGTGAGATGTGTTGATGGTGTCATAAGTGGGATGAGGTTGTAACCGGTCCCCAGGGGCCCGCGGAGGACCCTGGCAGGTGGCGGTGGGATGCAGGTGTGCTCGCTCCCATGGGTGTCTCTGCCTCTCCTGGCTCCCTGCATGCTTCTCTGGGGCAGGGTCTGCTCTTGTCTTCTCAGTTGCCCCTGGCACCCCACAGTGTCTGGCACAGAGTGGGGGCTCAATAAATACCCGTTGAATCTAATGCATCTCAATTCAACAAACATTTATTGGGTGCCCACTGTGTTGGATGTCACAGTCCTACCTTCCTCGGGTGCTAACAGATGAATGTCACCGTATGCAGGTGGGCGTGCCTTGCTATGTGCAAACCCTCTGTTTAGAATGGTTGTTTGCAAATGGAACTGGTACTGATGAACTCATATTTGGGGGGCTCAAAGAAACCCTGATAAGAGGTGGGTAACCCTCTATGAGTGCTGCTCATCTTGCCCACATTTCTCAGGGGACTGGCAGAGAGCACGGCATGCCCGATCTAGGCAGCCAGCAGCCTGGGTCCTTGTCTCTACCTTCATGCATGCAGGGAAGCCAGGCAGAGTCACCAGGGTGGAGTAAAGTCACAGCGGCAAAGGCCGGACACACTGATCCCCCACTCAGAGGACACGACATCAGGACACCAGCAGAAGGCAAGCAGATGACAGAATCATGGTCACTATCATCATAAGCAAGCATCAGGTGAAGGACACGCACACACACACACACACACACGCTGTTCGTTCTCTGGACAAATTGCCCACTTACACCCTGGGCTCCAGCACAGGCGATCAGTTCCCGCAGGCAGGTGCACTCTGCACGGGAAGTGACCATTTCCACCTGGGATCCCACATGCAGCAAGGGGCGGACAAACAAGCCCTTGCAGGTGTGTGACAGGCCCATGGAAACAGTTGGCACAGCTGGGCCGCTCAGGGTCTACCACGTGTGGGACACCTCGAACAACTCCGGGCACCTCGCAGTGGCACGTGCAGATGGGGAAGCAGAGCACAGTGGTGACGGCCACAGTGCAGGTCAGCGGCACAGAGGGTGCCCTCCTCCCTCAGTCCGGGCAACAGGCAGGCTACAGACACACGAGGGGACCCCCGGGGGGAACAGCTGGCCTCCCTGAGGAGAGCGGCGGGGAGGGGGAATGGGCATGCCACCCGCCTTGCAGATGAAGGACTGGAGCACTCCCAGATAATTTTCTGAGAGTGCTGGACCTGGGGGCTGAAGCCTCAATGCCCCCCAGTGTGGGAGGGCTGCTGTGGGGCTATTGAGCAGGGGCAACTGGGGCTCATCACCTTCCAGACACCACTGTCAGGACAAAGCTCAAAGTGGAAAGGCCCCCTGTCTATGCTGATTGCCCAGGGCCCGTGTGCAAGTGCTACACCCCCTGTGGCCTGTGTGCTGCACACAGAGAGGAGCTGGAGGACCGGCTGCTGTTGCCTGGTCGGGAGTCTGCTCCCTGGTTCTCCTATGACCAGCCCTGTACCCTCGACCTGCCTGCTGGTGGGACAGGAGGCTGCCACGTCCCTCCCAGACCTGCTCCAGGACAAGCATGCTGCTGTCCTGATAAGTCCCTTTGGGGACTTTTTGGGTGTGACCTTCCCATGCACACCAGCTCTGAGCCCCCGACATTTGGAGAGCTGCACCCCAGGAGGGACAGAGGTGTGGGGGGGCTACAGACGCCTGCTTACAAAGATCACACACAAAACAACCACCTTTCCTTTGTTGGAGCTTTTCTTTAGCAACAATAATTTCCAAGCTTCTCCTTCCCCTCCCATCAGGACGCTTTCACCTTCAGCACGAGGATGAAGGTGACAGATGGGCACCTACTGTGGGCCGGGCAGAGCACGGGCTGTGCACATGGGTCACCTCCTCCAGGGCTCTAACACCTGGCCAGGCGCAGCGGGAACCGGGCCCAGGGACAGGTGGAATGCTGCCAACGGCTGGTGATGGTGAGCGGGACCTGAACTCGGGCCTGTCTCAGGCAGAGCCGGCACCTTTCCTCTGTGTCCTCACGCCCATGACCATCCCGGCTCAGCCTCTATTCCCAGGCTAAGCCTCAACCTCGCCCCAGAAAACCACGCTCCGCCCGCAGGGGCCCGAAGGCCCCGCTGGGGTCTCCCGAGTGTACTCGACATGCTGCTCAACAGCGTATGGCCTCCAGCAGTGAGGACCATGTCTGGAGCTTGGCCTACATCTGGAGATGGCTCCTAACTCTGGCTTCACGACATCACCTCTCTCGTTCTCTTTGAGGATACAGAGTCCCAGCTCCCGGTCCCTGGCTCAGGACTAGCACGGGACAGGGGACAATGCCGCCATCACCTCCGAGTCTGGACTCGCCGCCTGGACCATGCCTTGCATCTGCTCTGGAGCAAAACAGCCCCTCGTCCAGCCTGGCTGCCCGGGAGGCCCTTTGCCTGACTTGGCTCCCTGCCCTCCTGCTGGCTCCAGAGTGTTTTGGGGACCAGTCGGCACAGCTGTGAGCCGAGCACTAGCTAACGAGTGTCCGTCGCATCGCGGGAATCAGCAGGCACGAAGGGCCTGCCCCCTCCCCAGTTTGCCCTCAGGTCTGTCGGTTTGCTCCTATATATTTTTTTAAAGAGCAAGGCTTAGATCCACGGGAGCAGCTTGAAGTTTTGGGGCCCCTTTGCTGAGAGGTGTCTCGTGCCACATGGACAGCTCCTTGCTCAAAAGAACCACTCACGTGAGTAAAAGTTGTCTCCCGAGATGGTTTGGAGAGGGTCTCTATCGGTCCCGCTACTGTGGGACAAGGACTGGCTGTCCAGGTCTGGAGAGTTAGTCCTGGTGTCTGCGTCCCCCTTGAGGATCAACCAACTGGTCTTCTGCTGAGAAAAGAAAAAAAAAAGTCACGTGAATTTCAAGGTCATCTGAAATGGCACAGCCCCACTTTACAGATGAGGAGACTGAGGCTCAGGGTGGTCCAGGGCCCGAATGGCTTCCCACAGGGCGGGAGAGCCAGGTGAGCCGCGTGGGCTCTTCCCAGACACACCCACCTCCCTTTAGGACAAGAAAGGGCAGCAGCTTCCGAAGCGGGATGGCCGAGCCCCGCCCGTGGGCTGCTCGGGCAATGCCAGCGCTGTGGGCACACAGCCATGCCCCTTCCTCGTGCATCACCTGGGGCCGGCGGGGCCCCAAAGCCTAAGGTATTTCCTCTGAAAATGCCCACCAAGTGTGTTCTAGAACAATCGTCTCAGTCACCCCGAGAGCACCCTGCGGTTTCAGACACCTTTCCCCTTGTTTCGGACACCTCCTCAGTTACAGCACCGTGACCAGGCCTCCTGGGCATATCATGAGGAGGTGGGTGGTGGGTGGGCTGGTCCTGATGTAGAGGGAGGCTGCCGGCAAGGAGCCCACCCAACCCTTGCATTTGGTGCCTGTTCCATGTGGCCTCGTGGGACATCTAGGGAGCAGGACCCAAGAGGAGGAGGCTGAGGTTGGAAGTTGGACCAGTGGCCACAGAACCAGACTTGTTTCTGCACAAGCTTGTTGGAAACAGGATCTGCCCCCGCATTACCTTCCTGTTATCCTGGTCGAAACTCCCGTCCTCCCCATCCAGTCGCCTCGAGGCTGGAAGGGAAACATTGATTTGTCAGGGCAACACGCCATTTATTCCGGGTTCTCACGGTGCAGCCCCGACTCCACGATCATGCTCAAAACCGGAAAATCATCAAAGATGAGGCCACCAGCGCGAGTGCCTTTGAAGGGGAGAGGAGCCAGGCGAGCTGAAGAAGGCTTGGCAGGAGCCGGGCATGGGAGTGGCCATGGGCCCATGCACGAGACAGTCCTTAAAACCAAGCCCAGCCAGTGTAGCTCAGTGGTTGAGCATCAACCTGTGAACCAGGAGGTCCAGGTTCGATTCCCGGTCAGGGCACATGCCCAGGTCGCGGGCTCGATTCCCAGCAGGGAGCGTGCAGGAGGCAGCCGATCAATGACTTTCTTATCATTGATGTTTCTATCTCTCCCTCTCCCTTCCTCTCTGAAACCAATAAAAACATACTTTAAAAAAATCTACTAATAAAACATATTGACCTTGTACAGATTCTGATTCAAACAAAACTTTGAAAAACAAAAACAAACAAGCAAAAAACCAAGAGCAGGTACGTGATGCGAGGCCTAATGAAAATTCCAGCCGAGCCCCCCACACCAAGACCGGCCCTGTCTGTAGATGCAGCCACCTGGCACCCTGACCAACACACTTCCAAGCCCCCAAGTCTAACTTCAAAGTGGGAGGAGGCCGCACTCGGCCAGCCCGTCCTGCGTGGGACTCAGCGGGGTGCCTCAGGGGTGTTGCTGCTCTGTCCACACAGCCCGCTTCCCAGATCAGGGGCCCGAGGCTCAGAGCAATGTCCTGCCTTTCTCAAGGTCGTGGATGGGTGGGTGGCAGAGGCTGACCTTTGAACCCTGGCGGTTTGACTCCCGGGTCCTTCCTCTGACTACCCTACGCACTGCTGGCCTCCCACAAGTCACCGGAAACAGTCCATGAAAGGCAGTGATGCGGCCACAACAGACACCCAGAGGGGGCTGCGTGGGACAGGGCAAGCACGTTTCCTTCCCAACAACGCTCCGTGGAGCTGGGTCACGTCTGTGTTCCCAACTGGCCGCTTTTTTTTAAAATGTTTTTATTGATCTTGAAGAAACATCGATCGGCTGCCTCCTGCACGTCCCCCACTGGGGACTGAGCCCGCAACCCGGGCATGTGTCCTGACCGGGAATTAAACCGCGACCTTCGGGTGCATAGGTCAGCTGGGTTCCACGGGCCTTTAGGGGGGTTGTCGCCCAGCTGGACTGATGTGATCTCCTACCAAGTCTGATCCAATAAGACAGGATCCAGTTCAGTCCATAAAGACCCATCCCGGGCACCTTGTACTAAAACGCCGACCCCTGCCCGGCCGGTGTGGTTCAGTGGTTGAGTGTTGACCTAGGATCCAGGAGATCGAGGTTCGATTCCCGGTCAGGGCACATACCCAGGTTGTGGCCTTGATCCCGAGCGGGGGGCATGCAGGAGGCAGCCGATCAATGACTCTCTCATTATTGATGTTTCTGTCTCTCTCTCCCTCTCCCTTCTGCTCTCTGAAATCAATAAAAGCATATTTTAAAAGAAATATATAAATAAAAATAAAATGCCGACCCCATGCACGGAGCAATAAAAGAAAAACCCCGGGGCCTTCCCACCCGCCCCAGAGACCACGGCCGCCGCAAGGACACGCCAGGGGGCTCCTTACCTGCCGCCCGCCGAAGGCTCGGACCTTCTAGCCTTTTGGAGCAGCCTGCCTCGTGCACCACCAAGGACAAGACTGACATCAGGCCCGAGAGCTGGGACACTGGGGACTGGGCTACGGGACCTTGACAAGATAAGGCCACAGGTGAAGACCGTTCTGGACACCCTAACATCCACTACCCCCGACGGCTACCTGTTTCTCCTCCCGGGAGAGACAGCGATTCTCAGTGTGAAAATAAAAAGCCCTCTCTGCGAAAAGAGGCAAATTAACAAGGAGCCCGCGCAGGAGCTGGGTGATGGAGGGAGGCAGAGGGGGGGTGCAGGCTGCCCAGAGGGGGACGCATGCCAATCCGTTGGGCTCTCCTGTTGCCCAGACAACAGCCCTCGGGAGCGCAACCCTGGAGGGTCTGGCCATACATCAGCCACGACTCTTGGTGGCTGCCCAGCAAGCCCCAGGGACAACCAGGCCAGCGCAGAGGCCCCCAGAGGGACAGCCATACTCAGGGTCATGTGCAAGTGGGGAAACCACCGAGGGCCCTTTGGGATGCAAAATCCCATCCCTCAGAGTTCAGGCCGAAGTGCGACAGGCCACCCAGCCACAGGCCACCCTGGGTCCGAGGACTTCACACAGCCGAGGACAGCAGGTGGGGCCAGACTTCTAGACCCAGGGCTCAAAACTGCCCACGGTCTGTGAGGGGGGCCTCCATCAAGATTTACAAACTCAGCCAACTCCTAAACAGCCTCAAACCATCGCCTCGAACCTGGAGCCCGTCTGCCAGGCCGCACATCCCACGGCAGCCCCCTGGGAAAGGGGAGCCCGGTCAGGAGACATGGGAGCCCTCCGGCACTCAGCATCGTTTGCAGCCTGCTCCTTACAGCTCCGAGCCTCAGTTTCCTGATCTGTAAAGTGGGCAGATGGCGCCCCCCCCCCGAGCTGTGAGGAGCCCATGAGAACATGTGGACACCGTGACATGCAGGGGGTTCGAGCTTGAAGGCTTAGGAGTAATCCAGAGGCCAACTCTGGCGAATTTGTGGCAAGCTGGCTGCTTCCGTGTCAGGAAGGGACAGGGCCCCTCAGAGGACAGAGGGGTCCAGGCGGGTGCGCCTTCCCTTTCTCACAAGGCAGCTCCTGCTGAGCCTGGGAGGCATCTGCCCCGGGGACCCTCTCGGGAAAGGCCGACGTCCACTGTGTGTCCCTCAGGAACCTGTGTGGGTGGCATCCTGATGACAGCGGGGTCTCTAACTTTCTTTCTGGATGCAGGGCCTGCCTTCCCTTTTTCCATCCCAAGAGGACCCCAAAACCAAAACGAGACTCAACCCCACTACCCAGATATCCTAGGGGCACTCAAGACATGATTCACCCTGTTTTAAACCAGGGGCCACAGAAACAGCCATGATGTATGACACACGGGGTCCCCTTTACTGTCCGGTCTGGGGGAGGCTCTGAAGGCGAGAGGGTGGGATTGACACCCCTCAGGGTCCATCGGTCGGCAGCTGGAGGTGATGAGACAACGCCCACCTCCTGGGAAGCTGGGGAGGCGTTCATGTTGCTCTTGAATTCATTTTTGTAAAATTCATTTTAAAGAGGAGAGGGAGGGGGAGGGAGAGACAGACGCATTGATGGGGGAAACATCAATCAGCTGCCTCCTGCACGCCCCCTACTGGGGATCGAGCCCGAAATCGGGCATGTCCTCTGACGCAGAATCGAACCCGCGACCTTTCAGTGCATGGGACAGCGCCCAACCAACAGAGCCACTGAGCCACACCAGCCAGGGCCTCTTGAATCTTTTTTTTAAATTTATTTTTAAAATATATCTTTATTGATTTCAGAGAGAGGAAAGGAGAGGGAGAGATAGAAACATCAATGATGAGAGTCATTGATCGGCTGCCTCCTGCACGCCCCCAACTGGGGATCGAGCCTGCAACCCGGGCATGTGCCCTGACCGGGAATCGAACCCCGATCTCCTGGATCCTAGGTCGATGCTCACCTGCTGAGCCACGCTGAATCATTTTAAACCTGAGGCTCTTGAATCATTTTAAACCATCTAAACACCGGGCCCAGCTGCACCCCACTGAGGGGCTGGGCCACCAGAAGTCTGCTCAGGGTCGGTGCAGCCTCACTCTAACCTCCTTGGGACCGGAAAGCAAGCGAGGTGGCCTTGAACCAACTGTCCAGCGGAGACGGGCTCTGGGGGGGGGCTCGGTGCCGGGGCTCAGGGGAGCGGCTGTGCTCTCACCCGTGGCAGCCTCACAACGTGGCTGCGAGTGCCTGGCGCTCAAGAGAACATCAGAAACATGCCCCGAGGCACCGGAGCTCCCTGGGGAGGCCCGGCTGCTCCCCCCACAGCCTGTCCTATGGCGACCACTCCCCATCTGCTCCTGTCTGCCCGGGGGGGGGTCTCCCCTTTTGAAAATGCCTGATCACTCCCTTTTGCTTCCTTTCTTCTGTGTCTTACTCTTTTACTCAAAAAGCCATTAAATCATAACCAAGCTGAGCTGAAATTGATGTAGTACAAAAAAATACTGCTCGGCCCTACATGCTGTAAAATGAGGGCTAGAGGGTCAGGGGTCAGAGGTCAGGGGCCAGGCAGACCTGGGTGGGGACCTCAGCTTGGCCACTGACTGGTCACTTCACCGCCCAGCCTCAGAGAGCCAGGGGGGACAAGCTATTGTGTGCCGGGCGTGCAGCGCGTGGCGATGACGCCTTCCGTGGCAGCCCCGTGAGCGCGTCATCTCGTCCCCAGCACCGTCGCCCCCACCCGCCCGTTGGCCTGGAGGAAGGAGACGGGACCATTAGGAAAGAGGGATGCTAATTTTTTAAAAAAAACTTTGGATGAGTTGGGTCTGGAGAGCTGACAAGTAAACACATCAATTAAAAACCATCACGTTTTAGCTCGTTGACTGTATTATCGTAAATTAAATGTCCCAGGAGCTCCACAGCATCACCCCGAGTGTGTCTCCGGAGTTTGGAAAGTGAAGCGACGGCTTCTCCAGCCCTAGTCCTGCTCCTCCGTCCCCGAGAGGCGACCGGCTGGTCCGTCGGCTGAGACTGGGGCGGGTCTCGGGGGCCTTACGCGCACACACAGGGTCACACACCTGCCTGCACGCTCAGCGCACGCTTCGGCCAGGGTGCACTCCGATGGGGTGGGACGTCCCGCAAAACCCAAACATCTGCACGCACTGGCGTCAAACGGGCTCAATACACCTGCTACTTCCCGAGGCTCGGCTGAGCGCGGGTGGAGGAAAGTCCACGGCAACCACATGCTGACCCCATTTACACTCGAGCAGGCGCCGTATGAAATTTATCTCACAAAGCAATCAACAGGCCCAAATTCTGGGGGCTTCCAAGGAATCTGGGCTATGCTCAGGGTTCGGTCAAACGGGCGTTCACTTCCTTTGGGTGGCAGAGGCGTTTGGATGAACGACCCAGAGGATCACCGGTGACCCTGCCCTCCCCCCACGCCTCAGCTCAGGGCTCTGGCGTGGGTCTGGCCGGGCCCACACCGCCGAGCAACTCCGCACCCTCACTTACTG